GGGCTGCCTGTACCTGCTCCAGACAGCCCCGCGTGGGCTGTGAGTGCCTGCAGCAGGGAGTGCTGGCCACAGGGCAGGGAAGCTGCCAGAAAGGAGCCCAGGGAAAAGCTGAGCATGGTAGGGGAGAAGAGTGGCCCCTTGGCCGCCCTGTGGCTGGCTCTCCCTGTTGCAGCCATTCGCAGCCCACACAGAGCTGTCTAGAGCAGGCACAGGCAGCCCCAGGCAGGCTGTGAGCAGCTGCAGCGTGGGATGGCAGGCGAGGGGCCACTTTTCCCCCCAACAGCGCTCAGCTTTTCCCCCGGCCACTCTTCCCCAGGCCCCTTCCCTCCCCGCCCACTCCCCCTTCCCCCTTATCTGTGCAGAGCAGTCACGTGGTCCCAGGCCAGAAGCCCCTGCTGGGGCTTCTAGCTGGTGGGGTGGGACCGGGCAGGCCCTGCTGTTGTAGAAGCCCACCGGGCTTCCCCTGGGTCTTACTGCACTTGTCATTATTGACAGGAACCAAGAGCAGAGAAATACTAATTTTCTAAATTTTTTTAGGGGCCCTGCGGGCTGCATAGAATGGCCTCATGGGCCAAATCCGTCCCATGGGCCGTATTTTTCCCACCCCTGCCCTACATTATTACCAAAGCCATTTCTTGCAACATCCTGATTTTTATTTTTACTCGAGGGTCTTCCATCCAGGTAGCAATCAGAATGCCTCCTGCTTAGCCTGTGAAAATCAGCTTCTACCCTCACTTTTGTCAGTACAAAAATTATTACCAAATAACTAAAAAAATTCAGTACAGGAGCAAGAAGAGGTTACAATTTCCCTGCTTCACAAGTGTTGCATCCAAAATTCCCACCCCTATTGGTGCCCTAAAGGGATATTTCTCCCCTTTTAAGGACCTGAAGGTTTCAATACCTGGGTTCTGTGCATCTGCCCCCACTTAACATCTGTCTCTCTTTCTCTTGTAGGCGTGGCATCAAGGCTGAGCCCCTCTTTGTAGGTTACTGTGATCACGAATACAGCGGGTCCTGAGTGGAGGGCACTGCATTCCCTGCTGCATTGTCCCAAGTGCACTAATCTCTAAGGAAATATGCTGGCCTCTATATGTGAGAGGGAATCCCTGTTGCTCTTGTTCTGCTGCAGTGAGCTGATGTAGATGCACTTTGCCTCTTTTATTTCTGGTTTTTTTACACTTTAAATATTTTAAAGAATAAGTTCAAAAAGGGAAGATGCCTTCTCATCCTCTGCCTGGGCTGTGGCAGGCTTTGTAAGGGAGCTTCTCTGTCTCCCATTGTCAGAGTATCTCTTTGGGATCAACTTTGTCATGGCAGCAGGATTTCACAGGACTCGGTCTGCAGAAAGGTAATTTCCTGGCCACTAGAGGACAAGCCCTGGCTGGGTCTGAAGTGCTGGCTGCTGACACCTTACCTTTTTGGTAGTCCAAGTGAGTGCCTTTTGCTGTGGAGGCTAGAGGACATATATGTGTGGTGCTGCTTGAGGTACTTTTTATGTCCTCTTCTCCTTAACCAGTTTAGAAGGTCCTGCAGACTGCCCTGCCTCTGCCATTACTAGTGACTTAGAACAGCTCCCTTCTTCTCTACCTCCATGGTTCCCTACCCCTAGAAGCAGAGGCCTCAGCTGAGGGTTTGGGAGCTGCTGCCTGACATAACAACAGCACCATAAGCAGCCAAGTAGCTAGCCTGTCTTGGCTTGTATGTGCTTAGCTCTGGATGTACATACTTAGCTCTGTTATTAGTGACTGATCTATATCTGTAGCTCAAACTTAGTCTTTCTGTGGGGAGGGGAAAAGGGTCTGACCCGATGAGTATGGTGACACTGTGGGGGAGGTATGGCATCTATAGTCCTAGGGTTGCTCAAGGTAAATCACAAGCAACTAGGTTTTGGTTTTTTTAATCATGGTCACCTAACTCACAAGAACATAGGATTTGAAGGTGGTTTCTGGGTTTTTTAGTCCAGTCCCCTGTGTTAGCATCATACTATACACATGCTGGACTGTGGGTTTACCACATGACAAAAACCCACCTATTCCCCCTAGGGAAGCCCCACCATAGAAGTGCAGGAGAGAACATTACACTAATGTGTAAACCAGAAGTGTCAGGCAGCAACTGCCAGGCTGTTCCCTCCTGTCCTTGCTCAGTTCTTTTTATTTTCTTGTAAAGGTCCTGCCTGCATCCTTGGAGTCTCCTTTTCTTACTATTATCTTTCACGCTATGTGGCTCCACAGTTGCAGGGTTGGAGCCCTGGACTTGTAAACCGGGGGTTGTGAGTCCAAATGTCACTGGTGCATATGTCCCTTAAAGTCCCTTCCAGCTCCACAGTGCTACTGAATAGCAAACTCTGTGTTTGTGTGGGGGTTTAGACTAGATGACCCTCAAGGCCCTGTGATTTCTGGGGCCCTTGCCGTGGGCTCTACTGCCCCCTGTTAGCCACTAGAATGGCACCGTGAGATCGTCATTTGTGAGATCATCATCCACATTTCCTTCTCATAGGAAGCTCTCAGTCCTGTGAATATTAAAAGTCCTGTCTGAATCAGTCAGTGTGCTCAGGAGGTGTGTGCCACTGTCACTCCCTCCCTCCACCACACAGGACTTGACCAATTTCTCCAGTCTCCCAGGGTTAAATTCTCAGCAGGGAGACTGAGATCTGATTTCCTCCTCCATTCTTTGCTTGAATTTCATTTTGAACACCTCATGCAGAGTACATGGATAATACTCCATAAATGAGTCTAAACGTCAGTGCTTGCGGATGTTTAGCTCTCTCTACTGGGTTGGATACCTTGGGGAGACTCCTGTGGCCAGGCAGAGACATACTGCTATGGAACATCGCACACGTACATGGGTATCAGCCTTAAATGAGAGATTTCTATGCGGCTTGTTCTGTGGTTGCCAACTTTTGGGTATTGTTATACTTTACATTAAAAAGACTACAGAGGCATCTGAGTTTGGGTTTATTTTTAACCTCAAGTACAGGGTTCCCAAATGGTAATTAATGTGCACTGCTGGTGGCATGCCAGCTTGTTGGAAGTTGTACGCCACAGACTTTTTGTTGCACACACGCGGCTATTGAAAGCATTATAGTGCATTCAGGAAATGCCCAAGAACCAGATGCCCCTCCCCTGGCGCTGTTTCACCATGACAGTGAATAACTGAGAAACTGTGCCAGCATAATAGTGTAAATGCTGTGTTTTGTGGGAGTGCAGGTGGGCAGATTGTAGTTGTGGCATGCAGCTGATTGACTTTTTGCTAGGTTTAGCAGCCAGTTTGCACCAGTCCCTTGGCTTCAGCTACTGAAGTGAACTTGAAGCTCTGTATATCACTTAACAGCTGCTCTCTGAAAAGAACCACCCACATGGGGCTTATTCAGAGCATAACCTACAGCTACAGGGAGCCCTGAGATCAAAGAGGCCTTCAAGCAGAAAACCATAGCAGAGCAGGAGCTCACTCTGTCCTTTCCCCTGCATCTTGGGTCTCCATAGAGCTGTCGAGGAAAGAATTTGCTGTGTGTTCTCTGCAGACCAGAGCAGGGGATAGAGGGAGCAGTGTTCAGGGTATGGTGGAACTATGAAACTGGATAAAATCCTGGGTGAACAGAGCTAAGGCGAGAGCTGCCTCAGTTTTCAGCACAAAAGTAGAGCTGCAGCTGAGTTTCTGCTCCACAGAGTAGTCTTGTGCAATTTATGCAGCTTTGCAGGCATCTGGGGACATTGCTGGTGATGGGTGTTGGAGCTGAACCTATTTGATACCCCACTAGAGGCCCCTACCTCCAGGCAGGGCTCCCCCACCTCTTGATCTCTTCCTTCTGGGTTCTGTTGCCCATTTGCTTTTGCATAGGAGAGAGCCACAACTCAGTCACACGTATACTTGAAATAGCGCACATTTTCCAAGAGCCGCTAAGACGGTTCTTATCCCTGCTCATCATTTACAAGTTTGAAGTCAAGAAAGTTTACTTTGCCTCGGGTTCAACAATAGGCCTAGTCAGAATCAGCAGGCTCTTCAGACTTAACAAGTTAAAGAGTCAAGCCGTTGCCTGTCATTCAATAGGATACCAAAATATCCCAAGCTGTCACTTACAACACACTTGTTTGTAATTTGAACAACACAAAAGGCATAAATAATAGTGGTTGCTTCATCGTGTTTCTTCTTGATGTGCTGTCAAAACCTAACGTGTTTAAAAAGGATGTTTATAATTAGACACAGTATTGGTTGGGAACTTTTTTTGATGAAATGTTTTTCTTCAGAGTATGCTGATGTGTTGAAATGGAAACTTTTGTAGAAATAAGTTCCTGATGACATTTTGTCAAAAAGGTTTCTTGGGTCAAAATGGAATTTCTGGTCAAAACAGGAGACCAAGAGAGAACTTGTGATACTTCTGAATCAGGGCAATCTACATGCTCTTTGAGACTAGAGATCTGAACCTAGGTTTCTCATATTCCAGATGGGTACCCTGCTCATTGGATTATTGTTCATGCATGCCTCTGTCTGCCTGCTTCTCTCCTCTGGATGAAAAATATTGAAGTCACTCTCATTCTGCTCTGCAGCAGAACACGAACCAAGATGGAGTTCCTGTCTTTAGCCAGCCCTAGTATCATCAACCCTTATAAGCTTTGTAAGGTTATTTTTTTATGATGCAGTTCACGCACACTGAAGTCTATTAAGGCTTTACACTGTTCACAGAAAGGATACATTTGCATGCAGTGTTTCAAATATAATTCCCTTTAAGCTGAGCGCTGAACCAGTGAAGTTTAAGGACTGCTATTCCAAAACCTCCTCAAAGGGAAGGTTCTGACTGTACCACTGGGAGAGAACAGATCTCCCTAACTTATTTATTTGCAGTTGTCCTATCATCATAAAGGTGCCCAGGAGGCCTGAAAGCCTCTAAAGGGCACAGTATTTGAAATCCAGCAAGAAATTATTCTGACAGGGTGAAAGCACCAGAAGAATGGTAAGATATCAATGCAGCTGTACAAGGAGCTTCTAGGATGCGTCAAATGCAAAAGGAAAACATAGGCGATGGAAAACGGATAGGTTACCAAAGAAGCGTACCAGGAAACAGCAGAACTGGCGGGGACAAAATCTAGAAAGCAAAAGTAACAAATGAGCTGCAACTGGTGGGAGGGGTTAAAGAGGACAGGAGGTTTTATAAGTGTACTGGCTAGAAAAGAAAGGAAGCTGTGAATCCACTGTTAAATAGCTAGGGTGAACTCTTAACAGAAGATGCAAGGAGGCCAAGCAACTCAACAGTTACTTTGTCTCAGTCTTCACAAAAGGACTCAGCTGCAACCAGACACCTAATAAGAATTTTTTTGGATAAGGGAACAAACTGAGGCATGAGATAACAAGAAACGGAGAGCTTTTGATGGGTCTGAATGAATTCAAGTCAGCAGGGCCTGATGAACTACATCCTAAGTTACTGAAGGAGCTAGCAGAGATACTGGAGCTTTGGCAATAATATTTATGAAGTTGAGGGAGACTTGGCCTGGAAAAGGGCCAACATACAAAATAGTGAAAAGGAGGATGTGGGGAACTAGAGACTGGTTAGCCTCACCTTGATGCTCAGGAAGTTACTGGAGCATGTCATAAGGAAGTCCATTTGCCAGCATCTGGAGGAGGAAAGGCTGATCACAAGTAGCTAGCATGGATTTACTAAGAATAAATACCAAGAAAACTTGATCTCCTTCTTTGGCAAATTAACTGCTTAGGTGGATGAAGGGAACACAGTGAACAGTGTCTCTGGACTTCAGCAAAGCTTTGATGAAGTCCCACATGATCTCATAAATTGGAGAAATG